TATCTATCTATCTATCTATCTATCTATCTATCTATCTATCTATCTATATTCTTCTTTCTGCTTTTCCCTCTTCAGAGGTCGACACAGCAAGTCATCCTCTTCCATTTCACTCTGTCCTCTGCATCCTCTGGCCTCACTCTAACTACCTTCATGTCCTCTCTAACTACATCCATATTCTCCTCTTTGGTCTTCCTCTGTCTTTTTTCCTGGCAGCTGCATTTCTAACATCCTTCTACCAATATACCCACTGTCCCTCGTCTGGACATGTCCAAACCATCTAAGTCTGGCCCTCTCTAACTTTGTCTCCCGGTTGTTAAACCTGTCCTGTACCTATGACGATCTCATTCCTAATGTTATTCATCCTTGTCACTCCTAAGGAAAACCTCAGCATCGTCATTTCTGCCACTTCCAGATCTTTCTCCTGTCTTTTTGTCAATGCCACTGTCTCCAGACCATACAACATAGCTGGTCTCAACATTGTCTTGTAAACTTTTCTTTTGACCTTTGCTGACACCCTTTTGTCACAAATCACTCCTGAAACTTTTCTCTATCCACTCCATCCTACCTGGATTCTCTTTTTCAACTCTTCACTACATTTCCCATTTTCTTGGACAGTGGACTCCAAGTACTTGAAGTCCTACACCTTTGTCACCTCTGCTCCTTGTAGCCTCACTGTTCCACTGGCCTCCCTCTCATTCACACACATACATTCTGTCTTTCTACAACTGACTTTCATTCCTCTTCTTTCAAGTGTATACCCCCACCTCTCCAAGTTATCTTCCACCTGTTTCCTGTTTTCACCACAGATCACAATATAATCTGCAAACATAATAGTCCACGGGGATTCCTGCCTGACCTCATCTGTTAGTCAGTCCATCACCAGAGCAAACAAGAAAGGGCTCATCCTTGATGCAATCCCACATCAAATATTGGATTTGATACCTGGATGATTGAGCATGAACTTGTTGTCTCTACCTTGAAGCTATCTGTCATTCCTACAGCACATCTCACCACTGTCCTGCTGTCCTCATACATGTCCTGTACCAGTCTAACATACTTCTCCACCACTCCAGATTTCCTCATGCAATACCACACCTCCTCCTCATTTTCAGGCTATTAATATTCAGTCAGAGATTAAGAACATGTTTGGATTTTTTTTTACCACTGTAGTGGCTACTACATTAAATACTTTTGGGTTCATTAAATTAAACAGTACACACCTTGGTTCTGTTTGACAGCAAAATGGGGGTTTTATTTGAAGCTTTACTTCTAAGGTGGAACAGCCAGAAATACCTCGAGACCTCAAAAGACAGAACCCCTGTCTCAACATAGTTCTGTTCTTATTTATACCTTTCATTGACGTCAGAGGGTTGTATAACACTTTTATCAATCCTTTCCCATTTTAGGAAAACACTTGAGAAACAAATTCTTCTTAGGTTAGCTTGACATAAACACTCTAGTTGTTAAAACAGTTCTGATGGGAAACAGTCTTATATAAGCAGTTGATCTTATGCCCAGAAATTCCTGGTACTTTTAGATAAAGATAAACAAGTACAAGTCAACTTCAAGCACATCTCAGAATCTGTTAAAAACAAGTTCTGTTGAACATAGTTGTTGTAAGTTAAAAGACATATTTGCTTGGGCTTTATTATAAAACAGATTGTCTAATTAATAAAGTTTCTTAGATTCTACACCACCAAAACCTGTTTTCACTTTCACCACTTAACTGTCTGTCCGATCACACTTGTAAATGAGTCTTTGAGGCTCAGTGTGACTTATCTGTTTAATTAAAGGTTAAATTAATGAATAAATAGGTCTTATTTCGTGTCCATAGGTGAGGGTAGGAATATACAGTAGACCAGCTGGCAAACAGAGAGCTTCGTCTCGCAGTTCAGCTCCCTCTTCACCACAACAAACCAGCACAGAGTCCGCAATACTGCAGATGCTGCACCAATCCATCTGTCAGTCTCACTCTCCATTCTTCCCCCACTTGTGAACAAAACCCAGAGATACTTTAACTCCTCCACTTTAGGCAGAACCTCACCCTCGACCTAAAGAGAGCAATCCACCCTTTTCTGGCTGAGGACCATGGCTTCAGATTTGGATGAGCTGATGTGAATTATTGGATATAATTCAGAATTCATTGTTCAATTAATGATGACAAGCCGTCCTGGGTCAGATGTAGCAAAACAGGCCCAAACTATGATACTACCACCACCATGTTTCACAGTTGGGATTAGGTTCTTATGCAGGAATGCAGTGTTTTCATTTCTTCAAATATAATGCTTTTCATTTAAACCATAAATTTCTATTTTGGTGTCATACATCCACAAAAAAAATAATTCCCATAGCATTCTGGCTTGTCCACATGATCTTTAGTGAACTACAAATGCGTAACAATGTTCTTTTTGGACCGCAGTGGCTTTCTTCTTGCAACCCTGCCATGCACATCATTGTTGTTCAGTGTTCTCCTGAGTCTTGAGACTCAATGAGACTAACCTGTATAAATAACGGTTGAATGAATGAATGAATGAACATTAACACCAAAGTTCATGCTCAATAATTCAGGTATAAAAGTCTATAAAGTTCGGTCAGGTCATCTGGATCTTTTTTGTGCTGTGTCAAGTAATGTGAATTTTTGTGTGAAATCAGTATTAAAGTCTGAGACAAGGCATGCAACTTATACCCTCTATGCAAAGCCGAAGTACACAGGAAATGAGGCTGAAAGTCTGTGTGTCAGAGAGTCAGAGTCAGAGTTTCTTTATTGTCATTCGCACCTCATGTGGTACATGTGGTGGAGCGAAATTATGTACACGGGGTCCCAGTTACATCCAACAATAAAATGTATAAGAAAAACAGTAATAACATCTAAGATATGAACTAAGAAAAACATCAACTAAATATACACTCATAACATAAAACATTGAACATCATCACAAACATGAACATGAGTCTGTGAGCAGATGTGCACACATGAACACATCAACATTGAAACAGATCAGCAGCAACATGAAACAGATCAGCAGCAACATGATATGGTTTTTCACAGTGATTATTCTAGTTAGAGATTCATGAGTCTAACAGCTTCAGGGTAGAAGCTGTTCCTCAGTCTAGTGGTTCTACACTTAATGCTCCTTAACCTCCTTCCTGAGGGGAGTGGGGCAAAAAGTGTGTGTGCTGGGTGAGTGGGGACCTTCATGATGCAGGTGGCCCTCTTCCTGCATCTGGAGGTGTAGATGTCTGTGATGGTGGGGAGGCTGATTCCGACAGATTTCTGTGCAGCCTTCACCACTCTCTGCAAAGCTTTTCTTTCTGCAGCTGTGCAGCCTCCATGCCACACATTGATGCTGGAGCACAGGATGCTCTCCACTGCACACCTGTAGAAGGAGGTGAGGACTGAGCTTCCCAGACCAGCTCACCTCAGCCGTCTGAGGAAGTAGAGTCTCTGATGAGCTTTCTTGATCAGGCTGGTGGTGTTGTTGCTCCAGCTGAGGTTGTCATTCATGTGTACACCCAAGTACTTGTAGCTGGAGACTACTTCCACCGCAGATCCTCTTATGTTCAGGGGGGTGTAGATGTTTTTGTTCCTTCTGAAGTCCACAATCATCTCCTTTGTCTTCTTCACATTGATGTGAAGGTTATTATCTTTGCACCAGCTCTCCAAGTGTTCCACCTCTTGCCTGTAGCTGGACTCATCATTGTTTGTGATGCATCCCACCACCACTGTATCATCTGCAAACTTTACAATGTGACAGCCTGGATGGGTAGCTGCACAATCATACGTGAGCAGAGTAAACAGGAGGGGGCTCAACACACATCCCTGAGGAGAGCCAGTGCTGAGGGTTATGGTGGAGGAGGAGAGGTTGTGGATCCTCACTAACTGTGGTCTGTTTGTTAAAAAGTCTAGTACCCAGTTGCAAATGGAGGGGCTTAGTCCTAGTGTGGATAGTTTGTCCATCAGGGTTTGGGGGATCATGGTGTTGAAGGCGGATGTGAAGTCCACAAAGAGCATACGGACGTAAGAGTTTTTCTGCTCCAGGTGGTTGAGCGCAGTGTGGACCGCAGAGGAGATTGCATCCTCTGTTGATCGGTTCTCACGGTATGCATACTGATGAGGGTCCTCATCGATGTTGATGGTTGTTTTGTTGCGAGTCATGACCAGTTTTTCAAATCATTTAGCGACTATCGGGTGAGGGCCACTGGCCGATAGTCATTCAGACCAGTCACTGTCGAGCTTTTTGGGACTGGGATGATGGTGGCAGTCTTCAGGCAGGTGGGAACTGTCTCCAGGGTAAGTGAGGTGTTAAAGATGTCTGCCAGCACCTCACAGAGCTGATCAGCACATTCCTTCAACACTTTTCCAGGGATGTTGTCTGGGCCAGTTGCCTTGTGCGGATTAATCCTCCTGAAGGTACTCCTTACTTCTGCTGAGGTCACGCTGAGATGCTCTTCATCCGGTGGTGAGATGAGTCTGGTGCTGGGTGGTCTGTTCGGGTCTTCAAAGCGTGCATAGAACTTGTTGAGGGCATCAGGCAGAGATGGGTCTTTGGGGCATTGTTCACTCCTTCCTTTATAATC